TAAGTCAATCACCAATACGTTTCTTATCACTGACATCGTTATCCTTGTCATTACTGCTATATGTACAATATTTAACATTTAGGCTTTGATGCACAAATTCACCTTCATTGATTAAAAAAATTTACTATATGCATATATCAGATCCTTGTGCACCTATTGGAGCATAGATCTTTAAGCTTTGGGGTTTGAAGTGGTTCGGCAGCTGTGGTGTGTTTTTGTGGGGTGGATTTGCTGGCCTCTCATGCAAAGTGTCATCTTTTCGAGGCACACTATTGGCCCGTAAACAAGGCGAGATTTAGGAGCGCTCTGGCCAGGAGTGAAGCCAGGGCCAACTACTTGGTTCACAAGTATTTATCTCTAAACCATGAGCGTATGTATAAAGCTATTGCTTTGCAATTCGTAGTGTTCCCTAAGCTTATTGGTTGGTTTAGTTGCGCAGCTTTCGTTGTTCTCTCCCTACCGGATAACATCCCCTTTCAGAGCATCTTTTTAGCATAAAGTGAACTGATTTAAATTTTTGCATGAGTGATAGAATTGCGTCTCCCGGTGACCAACCATCTTTACATATGCATTGATCATTTTTTTTATTGACTTGGATTTTAAACTTTCTCGTCACAAGATTTATTTCCTTAGTAGTTGGTATTTTGGTCTATATTATTAACGTGTTTGTTAACTGCATATTCGTTTAAGTACTAGGCTTCTAGGAATCCCCTGACAGCAGTTTTGGTGGTTCCTCTGTCTAACATTTCGACATTATCCCAATCATCAAACTGATGTTCATAATTGTCTATATGCATTGATATGGAACAAGAATATATATATCATGTCTTTTCACAGGTGCTTTGTGTTCCTCGATGCAGATTCGAGGGGGGATGCCCACTTTAGCCGATGTAATGTCTGTTACAGTTCACACATGTAATTTGTTTCGTAAATGGTTTTAATTTTATCTTGTTTCTCTGTTGAATGGGTCTTTTGGTTTGCACAGTATCGAATTAAGTGGTTGGACTGGCTGGCTCGCATACTGTGTCTATTTCAAATGGTTTCAATATTCTAGCTGTTTGTTACTTCAGAGATATTGTTCATATGTGTGTTGGGATGAATTTTCTTATGGTCCTTGATGACGGTTTCCTGTTGGCTGTGATTCGGTTTTTTAACACTTTTTCATGAAATTTTAGGGATATCCTTTCTTTTTGAAGATGGTCGTCAGTAGGTATTTTTCCTTCATTCTCTTCAACACCAGCGTGGTGCTGCAGTGTGGTTGAACTATCCAAAACAATGTCTGAACACAGTTTCTTTTGTGATTAATTAGGTTATTGCTACTATAGTTGTGGGTGTGTGTGTGCTTCCTACAGTCTCACATATATTGTACATTTATTTTATGGAGGGTGAGCAGTGTAACTCCCAATTCCTAAACACTGACAGCTGATTGGTGAGCGATTGCCTAAATGTGAAAATCAATAAATTATTACTATGACCAATCTGATTAGGCAATTCACATTGATTACTTTTTTTTCCTCAAAAGTGATTTGTGATGGCGATTCAGTCGCCAATGTGTGTTTATGTGTGTGTGGGGGCGTAAAAATGGTCACCGGGAGACGCAATTCTATCACGCATGGAAAATTTAAATCAGCTCACTTTATGCTAAAAGATGCGCTAAAAGGGATATAACCCAGCAGAAGGGGGGTGGGACGACGGAAACTCCGCAACTAAACCAACTGACCAGCTCAGAGAACACTGCTAATTTCAAATCATTCACCTGAGCTACAAATCTCCTCTATCATTTCAAGGCTATTGCTTAGTGGATGGTGACTAGCAATGGAATTTAGGGTGAGCATCTCACCCTATTCGGAACTCGTTAGTTGGACGTGTCTCCGAACCCTGTTAGGCGACATTGTCTCCGTTGGGACTTGAATCTAGCACCTATCGTCTCAAACTCCTGAATTTTATCCACCAACTAATTGGGCCGAAAAAGCCACCTCTTGCAGTCTATTTGTTAACGCTTTGGCCTATGAAACAATGTGTCCTGGGTTCAAGTTGCCACGAGATCAACAGGACTCCCTGGGGAGGGAGAAATGCAGTTACAACCAGTTGACAAGTCCTATATACAGGATGAAAATTGCATCTTAAATTTCATTGATAATCACAATTCAGACGTTATCAAAACGTCCACACTCACTTGGCTCCAACATTTATTCAGAGATGGAATAATTCACTCCATTATTATCCGTCGAAATGGAATACGAAATGTGTAGACCTTCATACACTAAATTCAAGTCTGAGGAAGACCTTATAGAAAACGTGATTTATGTGTTAGTTAACAAGAAAAGCATCACTTTAGCTTTTCTCGCTCTCTCTGCGTGTGTTTTTTCTTATGAAATTAATATGCTACTTATAGACAAATCAAAAGCAAATCAAATGCTGAATAAAGTAAATATAGAATGATTAGCGGGCAACTGAAATTACTTCAGCTTTGTGAACAGTGATCATATCGAATCGTTAGTTAGTTAGTTATTTAATTAATTAAATAATTAGTTAGCTATTTGCGGCACTGTCTGCCTGTGAGTATACAGGGTCGAGTTAAGCAGCTGTTTTTAATTTTTGTTTTTATGCAAGCCAGCAAATGAATGCGATGAGCCCCACTCACGACTATTTACCTAATTCATTATGATCATTGATATACGATGATGTTGATTCGGTGAATGTTGTCGATTCTGTTGCTTTTGTGTAATTTCCTGTATATTCTGTGTTAACGTTTGTCTTGCATATGAATTTGTATTCACCTTTGGTAGATTTAAACCTCCAGTAGAATTTTTCTGTGAATTATTTGAATTTGAATTCCATTTATTAATTAAATGTGTGATATTATTAGTGTGTGGAGGTGGAAGAGGCACAGGTGGATGTTGATGTTGTAGGCCACGATTCATACTTGACACATGTGTTGTTGTTTGACTAGCACAGGTGAAATCAACATATCGTCTACTAGTCGGTGGACTTATCAATGCCTGGGTAACTGTTGAACTATACGGTAAATCAATAGTACTACGTTTTAGACGTATAGGACTACTATAATATTCTTTATAGCTAGACTGTTTTGTTCTTTCCGCGCTGACTGGATGAATTCTTGCTGCAGATGAATGTGGTCTGCTTATAGGCACTATGTAGGATGATGATCGACCTAGAAAAAAATGTGGAGGGTGTAACAGTTGATAAGACTCACACACACACACATACATACACAGGCACACAGAAAGATTTCGTGATGACAACAACAACGTCTTCATTCAAGTGTTGGTTTGTACGAATTCGATTAATTGGTTACAGGATTTCATCATGAACTGAGATTGGCTGCAGAACCAACCATTGGAAAACCAGCCACAGGGAGTACTGGACAGCTGTTTCCATTGTCCTAGTTTGCGACTCTTCATCAATGTGCACCCACTGGGTATAAGGGAATTATACTCACCGAGGACATATTGACTAGCGGTGCGCTATTTCGTCAATTGGCAGAAGTTAGAATTCATGGACTGGTTGGCCACTAGATCGGGTCCCAGTGGCTCAATGGTCTACTAGGTTGCTGACCGTGTGACCAGAAGGTTGTGGATTTGAACCCTTTATGGTGGGTGCGTACTGCAGAAGAGTTCCAAACCAGGCTAACGAAACAGCCTTTCAGTACTCCCTGTGGCCGGGGTTTCCAATGGTTCCCTAATGAATGTCAGTTCATGATGAAATCCTGTAACCAATTATTGTCGGATTATTTTCCGTTTGAAAGTAGACTTCATTACGTACCTACGTCAGTCAGAGAAATCCTTCAAACAAGAGAACAATGGACATCTCTTTGTTTTCTCCCAGTTTGTGATTCTTCATCAGTTTTCACACATTGAAACACCAAGGATTGAATCTTGATCATTTCTATTCACCCACTAAGTCCTACTCGATGGATCGATGGATTCTAACTTCTGTCAGGTAGCAGCATAGTTCTATCACCTTTCACGTCTCATTGGTGAGTATTCATTCTGAAACCTAAATGGATAGAGCCTATCGATCTAACTCAGATGCATGGAGCTGAAGAGCCTCAAATAAGGACAAAGCAACTGGCTATCGCTCCTTTGATTTTCAGTGACAATTAATCTAATACTCACCACTGACTGGCTCTATGCATGAAGTTTATTGAATTTTCAATGAGAAGTTGTAATACTGGTGGGTACAAAAAGTTGGGAAAGAGAATAAAGAACAGAATGCGCCAGTGACACTAGTTGGTGGTCGGTTGCACCAAAATATCGCTAACTGACAGAAGTCAGGATTCATAACTTCGCTCAATACAACTCAATATCAGATGTCCTGCCAGAAAAGATCAGCAACAGTGATCTTCGGCAATGAACGAACAAACCAATCAGTAACTGATTATGCAAGAAATATGCAGGAAGAAATGGAGGTAGATTGGCTATACTCTGAGAAAACAAACCATCAAGTGATATCACAAGACATGCCATCGCTCAAGTGGAACGGAAAGCAGAGAGTCAGCTGATCGTCAGTGCAAGGGTCAGCTGACATGGAGGAATTCATGTGAAGAGGAGATAAAAGCACATGGTCAGATTTGGAGGCCAGTGAATACGTTGGCAGAGAACCGAACCCAATGGAGACGCTTGACGGAAGCCCCGTGTTCCACTAGGAACTAAAGATAACAATGATGAGAATAAAAATCATAGTCTATTGGCTCAGGTCTCAGCGTTTGAATGGTCTGAAAGTTAACCTTGTAACCTCAAGTTGATGGGTTTAATCCCCAGTAGGTGAGTACTATTTAAAGAGTCGCAAATTAGGAGAGAATAGCTGTCCAGTTCCCTCCCACCGCTTTTTCAGTGGTCCTGTAACTGATGCATTTAACCACTAGGTAAGTCCTGAAAGGCAAGATGAAATGAACATGAAGAGAAAAAAAACTTCAACTGAATTATACATTAAACACTACAAAAGGTAGAAGCGACGATTTATAATTTAAAGCTAACCCGTTGGAGTATTAGCTCGAACTGATCGTGCTATTGAACCAGCTGGTGGTTCAAGATCGTGTACACCTCGACCAATCGGTTGTAGTGTTATCGTCTCCATTTCCTCCAGGACAGCACGACTACCAACTGATCGGCTATCATGCAGTTGTCTATTAGATGTCTGCTAAGAGGAATTGAAAGAAAGAAAGAAAGCAGAGAAAAGGGAAAAAATTTCATAATTAACCGGATTTTTTATTGTTAAGTAAAACAAACGCACACAAAAGTGGATGACTATAGAATAAAGTGCTTTACAGAGCATTTAGACGATGAAGCTTCACTAGATTAGCTGTCACTGCGCCCTGCAACAAATGAATATCCTCTGAGGAGGGATAACGGCTAAATTTGCTTTTATCATCAAGAATAGACATCATTTTAGATTTGTAACCACTTTTATTCATAATAACGACTCCAGAACGCATATTAGGTTTCATAATAATTATATTACAGTTATTCCGTAGCTCTTTCAAGGCTTTGAAATGCTGTATTAACCAATTTAGATGTACGTGTGGACATAGATAGACATGGGCAGGACTCATCGATCTCTGCAAGTCAGGGCTGGCCTCAAAAGCATATTCCTAAAAGGTTTCAGAAACAAATAGAATCTTCAGGACCCATTATTGGTGAGAACGGGAGACCTAGCTCCTCTATTGCGAAACATATTGTAGAGACAGGACATTAAACTGATGTTTACACATCTTTTATACTTATCTATAAAACGTATTTGGGGGAGGGTGTATCCTGAAGTTTGTGGGAGCCCTAGATATCACTTGGAAGGTTAAACCATCTTTATGCGTTCGAAGCAACAATTCGTCATCACACTTAACCACCTTCTTTGGTAAACTTTGTTTTGATACCAAATAGGATAGGTGTACTATTGTAACAACAGAAGACAAGGGCCAGGCAACAGATCGTTTTATTATGAAAATCAACATGTATTTATATATATTTCACATACATTATTATAGCTTATGCAAGTAGACAAGCGCAGTCATCTGATTGGTTGTTTATCAGAAGTTAGGCAGACAAACGCAGGCTTCTGATTGGTTGTTTCGGGATTCCTCGACAAATAGAGTTCTCTATCTGCGAATCATATTTTGCCACGTTAACTTTGCTGTGATTGGTTGTTGAATCAGCCTTGCTCATATTTTCTCACGGCCTGCTCTCACCACACTATTACCTCTGTTATTTGGTTTAGTGGTCTTCATTGTTATTTTGAATTTCAATATATCCTTCTAACTTGACGTAAGTAGTTTATTTTTCCCCCTCTTAACTCTTTATTATGTTTCGTATATATATACTGTCCTGTGACAAGTCCATGTGTGATGGATCAGATTGTTCGAAATGTGTTGCTCGCGCAAATACAACATTACACACGATTCAAACAAATTACGTCATCCTTTTTAGTGCTTTGTCTAACTTCAAGTTAATTGAAAAAAAAAAAAATTAATGAATCCTATAAAATTACCCAGTCTTCTGCTGTTCTCCTTTGTTCTTGCATCCGGCGTAGATTTTCTTTGTGTGCAGAATATGTTGAATACATTGGCGGTTGTTTACACATTGAACTATTTCGTAAATTAGTCTCTGAATTAAATAAGAAAAAATGAAATAATAAAAATAAGTTTCCAAGGCTCAATATTGTTTGTTGTGGATACTTTATTTTTGATAACAGTTTGATACCACCGTATTTTTGGTACTAGTATGGAATTTTCAGCATGTGATATTGGTAGCCAAAATTTTGCAGGCCGACTATTGATATCAGTGTGTGTCGGCAGGGATTGAACGCCGGACCATGTGCATGGTCGGTGAGAGTCATTACCACTGTGCCACCGACGCAGCTGCCATGCAAACAAACATGCATGTCGGCTTACAAAAAAACCTGTGAGGAGAAATTATTGAGGAAAATATTCTCGTTGAGATTGACTTTCATTTAACATCGCAGTCAAAATAATAGAGACTTTTTTGACCTCGAAAAGGTATAATTTTCGGAGCTGTACTTCGATCTATGAGGAGTTTGACGGGAAACATGACAATGCTTGATCGGTAAAGTCGGTCAGAGTACACTGCTGGACAGTACGTACGCATATATATTTTGATAGATGACGAGATATCGCGTCAATGCCATAATTGACGCTCTTTTGATAAGTTCTTAGACACACTGGATATACTTGGCTGGAAACAAACTGTCACTACTCCCACAAGAGGTAACAACGTACTAGACTTAATCTTCTGCCACAATATAAGCCCCCTTTCAACGCTAGTAGGTTCTGAGTTCCCAGGGAGCGACCACAAAACAGTAATGTGTGCACTGCCAATTCCGCTGAGTAGCAATGCATCTCATACCTCCACTTCACAACAAGTAATATATAGGAACTATAGTAAGGCAAACTGGGCCTTAGTTGAATCGATGCTAAGATCCTCCAAATGGGATGAATACTTCACTACTGATGACCTATCGAGAGCCCTAACCATCTTCTACCATAACTCAAACATATGCTTAGATGCTGTCATTCCACTCCAAACACTAAAGGTTTCCCCACACAGAAAGTCATTCATAAAACCAAAGGATCGTAAGAAACTGAAGAAACTCTCAACAAGTTACTTCAAACACCACGACTTTGGCACTCTAGGTCTAATACTTAAAACCCTTAGCTCCATCACACAAGCTCAAGATTTCCGTATGAGAAAGGAAGAACGCATCGCAGTAGCCAGTCCTGCTAGAGCGTATGCACTCACAGAAATCTTAAGGAAGCGAATGAATCGCAAAAATCACAGCATTCCTCTCCTCATAGACAAAGGCAGGCTATGCACTAACTCTGCAGACATATGTGAACTATTCAACAAAACGTTTGCAGGTAACTACCTTAAGCCCTCAGTCCAGCTACTCGATATACACCCTATTACTAAAATGGCACAAACTCCATCTCCACTCACACCAAACCAAATTAGCACTGTTCAATTCACTTACGCTGACATTAACCAAACTATAAGAACCCTCAAAAGTTCAAAAGGTTTCGGTACCGACGGTATATCATCTTACTTCTATAAATATGGTGGCCCTGACATTCCTCTACTACTGCTTAAAATATTCACAATGTCCCTAGAAACCCAAACTTACCCTGACATATGGAAGACTACATTCATTATGCCTAAACACAAATCTGGCTCGAAAACTGAAGTCAGTAACTACCGGCCAATCAATATCACACCTATAGCATCTAGAATCATGGAGAGACTAGTCAAAAATAACCTAATCAAACATATGCTTAGCTGCAACATCATAAGTCCGAACCAACATGGATTCCTGAAATCCAGATCATGTTTAACATGTCACCTAGACTTCTTCAATTTTGTAACCAGCAGTCGTGACAGACGGCAACTAGTACTTGTCATCTACTTTGACATTTCTAAGGCATTTGACCGTGTTGACCATTTACTGCTAACAAATAAACTGAACTCCTTAGGAATACGTGACCCATTATTAGGATGGCTTAAATCATTCCTTAACAATAGGTCCCAAATAGTTAAACTCGGGTCTGCAACCTCCAAACCTAGCCCTATCACTTCTGGTGTAGTACAAGGTAGTGTCATTGGACCCCTCCTATTTACACTATACATCAATGACATATGCGCTTGCTTCACGCACGGGAAACCATTCATCTTTGCAGATGACCTAAAAGTAGCTTATACATTCCAACGTGATGACTTAGGGAACTTCGAGAATGTAGTACAGAAGGAATTAGATAAAATGGCTGCTTGGTCGTCCCTATGGAATCTCCAATTTAATCTGAACAAATGTGGCTGGATCTGCTTCGGTGCACCCTCAATTGACCTGAAATTAACGCTCCAATCTGCTAACCTAACAAGACTCCGAAGTGTCGTTGACCTAGGCCTGAGGTACTCTAGTGACTTGACATTCTCAGAGCAAGTAGCATCACAGACTAGAAAATCGAGGATGCTCTTAGGATGCATACTCAGGAACTTTCACGACAATGAAGCCAAGCTAATTCTGTACAAAACATGTGTCAGACCACTACTAGAATACTGTCCATTTATTATAAGCAGCACTCGCACACGTGACAAGCTAAGGATGGAAAGTATCCAACGATATTTTACCTCAAAACTGCTTGGCTACGATTGTAAGAAAGACTACATCTCACGGTGCATGATCCTAAAACTCGACCCACTTTGGACAAGGCGACTTATTATAAACCTAATATTCTTCTTTAAGGTCCTTCACAAAATATCTTTCTCAGGTAACAGGGACATACAATTCGCACAGGAAGGTTCTTACGATCTGCGTAACCAAACTTCCACAGTGACAACTCATTCTTTTAAGTCAACACTCCGTGAAAACTTCTTCACAGTCATGTATTCTAAAATATGGAATAGCCTACCCCTAGATATCAGAACTTGCTCTTCGGTTACAAGCTTCAAACGCTCTCTATACAGACTGTTTCACTCTACAGATTATATTAATAAACTATTTACTCCTAGAACGAATCAAGCACTAATCTACTACAGCACCTAAAAGACGCACTTCAACACCCTTAGCAATCTTTAAACTATAAATAAACTAGCAGCATGGATGCATAAAGACATAGTACGGAACATACAGGATTAGTCTACCCTTAGAAATAGGACCTATCCCTCATTGTAACCTTCAAACGCTTGCTATATAAACTGTTTTGTCCAAATGACTATCCCTACCAGAACCCATCACTTATTTCTAAAACGCATCAGTCATTAGAACAATAAAACGCTCAGACTCATTAATACACATTATGACATTAAATAAACTCTAAGACTTCGCATAAATACGTGAAAACGAATACAATATAGAAAAATGTTTACTTAAGTATAATTAAGATAAACATTTATAAATGAATCATGTATTAATGTCCTTTTCATGTTCACATACTTTCTCTTTCTGGTATTTTGCTGCTCCTATTCATCTTCTGGTCGAGGTCGAACAACCCTGCATCTAAACTGAAATGAGGATTAATTCCAAACCGTCTATCTCATAACCACTCAAATTCCATGAACGATCCAATTCTACCATTTGAAGACGCTGGCGAACATGCTGTAAATGAGTATTCATGATCTGAAATGAAGAAGCAACTGGTTTTCAAACAGTTTTCAACATTTTACTCAACTTACGAATACAGTCCGCCATGCAGACACAAATGGAGCAAATGGAGGATTCTGGAATCGACCTCGGCACCATTTGATGCAGTAAAACAACCCAACATGACCTTATTTAGTTTTCGTATCCACGATCAAATTTCTTTCCTGTTATGAAACTACGATAAGACTGCTGAAAAAATGGAATAAATATATCACTGATCTCAACATAATACATCAATAATCTTTAAGCCAAGGGTGCTGCTCACAACAAAGTTATATAAGAGAATTGACTTCAAGCTTTATTTTTCCCAGATATCTGTATTACATTCATCTGATGTCTGGGTTTTTTGTTAATGCGAAGACAATATTTCTATATCTCTTTATGTGCTACACAAACAGACTTTATAGCAGACTGTTCCTACTGACTCTAATGTCAGAAAGAACAACCAAACTGTAAATTCATTATACATTAAATTGTGTGTAATTTATATAATAACTTATCCATGCCTGTACAATTGGTATGTTCCTGCATAAACAGGAAGAAATATATATATATCAGACTCCTAACAAAACTCCAATCCTACGGAATAACCGGAAATCTTCACAAATGGATAAGTTCTTTTCTCACAGAAAGAGAGCAATTAGTCAAAATCAACCACCAGTTGTCTTCCTCAAAGCCGATAACCAGTGGTGTAATACAAGGTAGTGTTCTTGGCCCTATTCTATTCCTCTTATTTATAAATGACATAGTCTCTGTAATCAAGTATGGCAAGCCATACCTTTTTGCAGATGATCTCAAGATAGTATATGATTATGGGTACGGTGATATGAGCGTCGAAAGCAAGATCCAACAAGACTTAAATGATCTAGGCGATTGGAGCGAAAAGTGGCAACTGACTTTCAACCCAGACAAGTGCGGTATAACCCACCTTGGACGCTGGAAACCGATAATGTGCCTATATATGTACGGGAAGCTCCTCTCAAAACTGAACACAGTCACAGACCTCGGGATAACATACTCAGATTTATCCTTTTCCGATCACGCAAATAAGGTTGTATCTGACTGTAAACGACTTACTGGCTTTGTACTGCGTAACTTCTACACCCAAGAAGCAAGATTAGCTATATATAGGACATGTATCCGTCCCAAACTTGAATATTGTGCTCTCCTATTTAGTAACCTCAGGACTGTAGACAGAAAAAAAATCGAAAGTGTCCAGAGAATCCTCACGAAACGCATAATAGGGTTCGACCAACAAGTGGAATATGATGACAGGTGTGTACGTCTGAAATTAGAGCCTCTGTGGTTAAGGAGAGTGAAGTGCAACCTATTTCTACTCTTCAAAGTCATTAGGAAACACTGCTACAGTAACTCATCCATAACTTGGGAAAATATTAAATCATATCAGCTGCGAAACCACGACTACCTTGTCAAGGTGGCTACCCACAGAAAATCCATTAGGGCAAACTTTTTCACCATAAAATATTGCACTCTTTGGAACCAACTACCACCTGAAATAAGATGTTGTGAAAACCCTGATGGGTTCAAACGGAGCCTAGAAAGTCACTTTAACATGTCCACCCTAGCTCGTCTAAAAGACCACAACTGTTGGTAGAACGGAAATTGAAGGCCAGTCCAGTTATCAGTATAGTCACATACGTATATCTCGACTCTAATACTCACGCAGCGAACGTTAACTAATTTACTGACTTCTATTCTCTATAATTTTCACTAAGTTGTGTTGGTAAAAGTAACACTGGAAATAATTGTAATAGCATCCACACCTTTTAACGTTTTACATATGTATATACTAATATAATAATACTTATTAATCATGCATGTTCAACGCTTAAATTAGATGGATATTAAAATACTTAAAATATTTATGCATCAAATGTTCTCTTGCTTTACCACGCTTGTTTCCCTTATAACACTCAATTATTGAACCTAGTGTAATATTTGATATACGAATTATATTATTGATTATACTCTTATCATATATGGTTTGATTTACTCTACGGCTCCCTGTAGACTAACCACCATTCTTCAGTATACACACACTGCAGTATTGTTAAAAAACGCCAAAATTTCGTTGGTTCTGTGTTAATATCTTTTTATAATATGTCTAGACACGTTACTTTGCAATGTCAGATGTTTACTATATATAAGACTGTCATGAAAATTTAGTACACTAAGTCCTGCCAACCGACCTTACCTTCAGTCCATACTACCTAAATTGAACCTTAACTATAGTATTCTGCTAAATCTTGCTCCACTATTCACAATACCTATTCGTTTCACTCTTTAAGGTTTTGACTTCTTATAAAGTAATCTGTTCATCAGGATGCATGCACACATATATAATATGTTCGTAAAGATGTACGTGGAGACCTATTGGAAGCACTCATTAAGAAAGCTAGGGAGATGGAATATGGGGTACGAACATGTCTGGTACCAAGCAATATATTTGCGGTAGCCATAATAATCATAGTCTCAGAGCCTAACATCAAAAAAGGAGGGAGGGTGGCGCTAGCTGATCAGTAGATATGGTGGTGGTCACTAAGGTGAATCGCCCCATTCTGCAGGAACAGCAATATACAAATTAAAGGCTCGAGATATTTCTGATTTTTATGAGGGCTTAGATCTTTATCTTGAAAAAGATAATAGTGAACGCCTTGACAGATAATGCTTCTACCTTTAAATATATACCATTCGCTCAGCCTATTGTTGAGATGCGACCACGTGGGATCTGCACAGATTTATGGGGCATCTTATGAATTAACTTGCTATCCATTGTCAGATCTTTAAATACCACTTCAAAATATCTTGTCTCACTTATTTTCTAATAACGTCTTTACTTGATTCTCATTATATTCCATTAAACCTAACATTTTATAGCTCTTTATGAATTTGATTCGACTTATTCTATTCCTATTCTCTAGAGGGTACGGTTGTGCACCAAATAGAAAAAAAGACATGAAATAAAAACAACTGGCTTGAAAATAATTGTATTAAAGCCAAAAGTGGACATCATGATAGTATAAAATATATTGGTTTCATTATACATTGCAAATGAACGTTGTCGGCCTAAGGATTAATTACCTCCCCATTCTGTTTTCTATATAAATGTGTTTATTAATGATATATTTCACTCACTTAATCTATTACACTTTAATGTTTCACCACAGCACTTCAATTTTTCTAAAACAGCTTCCAATCCCTTGTAAACGTTGTACTTACCTCAATATTGGTTGCTTATCGTATGCAGACAACCACGGGATGAAAACGAAACGAAGTCGATTTTCCCGCTCAACCTGAAGGACAACTGTACAATTCAATAACTATACAGCCTAGTTCAGACAATGTGTATTTATATATATATCAAATATTTAACTGTTGAAACATTATTAACTTGTAGACAATTTAAGATTTGACATTATATCATCCTTGATCGTGCCTGTAAAAATGGCATGCATTTTCATGTAAATTTATGTTTATATAAATTATTATAACGTTATCGTCACACAATTCGGAGTCAGGCCTGGAGTTTACATTTAGCTTATCACTGAACTTGCTCACTGGTTCACAGTTCACCTTTGTATGCACCTCTTGCAAACGTGTAAAACACAACCGTGTTTGTCTTGCATCTTGTAACTTATCTGTTGAGGATGTACTACGAAACCTGTTACACTCACTAGGTCTATATGCATTACTAGACATCATGGAGCCTTCTCGATATCCACCTCTCTGAGGCCTATTCGTCATCAATGATTGCGTTTTACCCTCAGACTGCTCTATTCTAGGGGTGAGATTCAATATACTGGCAAACTTGCTCATAGATTGATTGACACTATTATTTACTAGTTTCAGGATATCATCAAATTTTGGCTCGATACCCTCATCCTCCATACGGGAGCTTATCTTCACCCACTTCCTTTGCAGTCGAGTAGGTAGGCGTCTTGCTATTACTTCTAGTATAAAACTCGAGTTGAGGTCACTCATGCAATTCATCGAAATCAAGGTATTCTTATAAGTCATAAGATTATCTAAAAACTCAGTAAGTGCCTTGGAGTCATCTTGAAGTTGACTGCCGTTACCTTTGACAGCTTCGTATACGTTCCTTACAATCATTGAAGGTCTTCCAAACCTTTGACGTAATATGCTCATAGCCTCAGCGTATCCCTCATTAGGGGGCATGAGCTTACAGCACTGTATAGCTCTTGCAGCATCTCCAGTGCAATACCTCATCAAATACATCAATTTCAATTCATCACTTAATAAAATACTACTCAACATGATCTCAAACTCCTTTACAAATTGTAAATAATCAGCCGGGTTTCCATCGAAACACCGTGGTTCAAATTTAGGGAGTTTGATGTTCCTATTATCCCTGAACGGCGAAACAGTAACATCAACCATGTCATGCTTAACATCAGACACATCGTTACAATTAACAGACAAGTCACCATGACTTGCTTTCCTGTTTGCATCCAAGACGCTCTGTCCCTTCTTTGACCCAGGCATTGTTGAACTTGACCCAATTCCAAAAAGTTCCAGATATTGCTTGTTCAAAGAGGACTTGACCGGCACCAGGAAAGATGAACGGTGACTATCCAAACTTTCACCAACTGTCCGAATCCGTCAGAACTGACACCGTACGTCAGAAACTGTCAGCCACGTCTCATAAACCGTTAATGCCCAGCTCTTGCTACGCTCGGGCTCACGCTGTCCCTTGAAGTTTCTCAGAAACGCTTAGTAATGGCGGACGCAAAAACCAAAACACCGATTGGCCACTCGAGAATTCTTTATTGTAACACCAACATATAAAAAAGGTTTCCACTAAGGTTTCTGACGGTTGTCTCCTGACTTCTTTCTGAACAGTGACCGATGAGACGATGACTGTCGTATTGATGCCTCTGCGAAAATTGGGGAAGTTGGTTTTGAGCAAACAACCATGAATTGATAGTTCAATCTTCAACTACATTGACAACGGCTTTCAATTTATTATTCTATTCCACGATTAACTCTGCAGAAATTGTACCATTAGTATTCGCTCATCGCACGTTTAATTCAGCATGATTTCGCTTCAGACTACAGAATTTTTGGGCTTAAAGCCCAGCATGGCGAAATATTTCGCATAAATTTCACATCAATACTGTTTGAGAAAATCTAGTCAAGGATTGAAGCGCAGCACATTGGATTTGCGCCCTTCTGGATTGCAGTGTATGAAATGGAACGTTCTACCAGTTTATGACCTGCAGAGCTGTCTACGGGCCGCGTTGTAAGATTCGTCATGTCAACTGTGAAAGCTTTGAAATCGCCGGCTATGAGGCGTAGACGCCAGCCTTTCCATGATCTTGGTTTCTTTGCATAATATATTCTCACCGGTTTATAGATGAGGGACGTCATTTCACAGGCATTAATTTGTCGAGTCATCTATATGGAGTAAATGTCTACAATTTATAAAATATACGGTAATATATAGGACAAGCTTCATAGAATAATACCCTAAATGTCTCATTACGCCATTTGAGGCAGCGTACGAAGGAAAATCCTGTGTGACAGCACTAGTTAAAACTTGATTAAAGGTGTTTAATAGTGAAGAGTTACGTTACAAATGGTCAGTGTGGTAGATTATTCACAGAACCGCAAAATATCTAGTGTGAAGCTTTACCTGTTTTACCGATAATGTCTGCAATAATATTAACTGCTAACATTTCATCACTTGCCAGCGTGTATTTAAACACATAAAGAAGTATTGTTACGTCAGCCGCGATGAGCAACAGGTAATTTTCACTTTATACGCAGTTAGGGACTAGAATTATGGTAAAGTAACCCATATAATTGGGAATGCACTGAGATTTTCGCCATCTGATAAGCTACCGTTCCTGGTATTCTCATATAAATTAATTAGTCTAGAGTTTGAACGATTTCTATAGGGACATAGTATAGAATGTCCTTACATCTACCATTCCTGGGTTGGAACGACAGTAGGGTCAATTTACTTGAGTGAATTCGGTTCCTTCTGACTACTTAGACAGTCATCGTTTTGCTGAGTGTTAACTGGCACAGTTACTGCTCGGACAACGCTATGGAGATATGGACTCGCAGTCTACGAACAAATCGCGAACGAAACCAAATGGATTCAAACAGAATCATGTTTGCCATAAACTGCTGAGGAGTTGCAAGACTTATTGTTCTATTTAACAATATGCACCAGATAAACATGGTATAAGCCTTCAGACATAGGGTTACTCAGCACCCAAATACTAAAAGTGCAAAAGCTGAACTTACAATGGCTAGCAGTTAACATAAATGAGAATTCAAAAGGGACTCACAGTAGATCAGTGAACCAAAAACGGCCTGATTAACACAAAATGCAAAGTGGTGTATAAAGTACAACTTTAGTGTTTGAAGGTTCAGCGTTAGACGTAACGTTAATCTACCCCTAAGTTCGGAGATACCGGGACCACTTAGTTTCATTTTTACCTCTTCTCCAAAGTTCTTCTCTTTGAGGAATTCGTGATGTTTCTGGCATCAGTCAAGACACACGGGCGGTACTGGTTACTGCATTTCTGAATGATGCTCAGCAGTAGTGAAATTTAGGAGTCAGGAAGCATTATAACCTCAGTTGACTGCATCTTATGGCTCAATGTGATCTTTCACAGCGTCAAATGTCTGCTAACCCTATCTCTTTCTCGTGCCATCGTTGGAGCCCAGCAACGGATTGTTCCTGGGAGCTGAGTTAATAGCTGGTAAATTTGGTTAGCTGATCAAATGAAGGTGAGTAGAAAAAGATGGTTTGCGGATGGAGATTGCCACTGAACCACCAAGGGCCATTAGAGAAGACAACTGTCTCCGCTACTGCACACAGTAAGCGAGCTTCCAGCCAGGAATGCCCATCTTTTACTCCAGAATACCATGCATAGTCATGGTGCGGAAAATTGGTTCCGGTGACTGTCTCACCATTTACCCTACTATCATTGACCTGTCAGGTAGTGTTCATATATTAAAATTTATCTATATATCTATGACTAGAGGGAGAGATAATTTGTTCTGAAGGTCTCTAGTGGAACTTAGTCTTCTCCCTTATGTGGCTGGCTAACCTAAAAGTGCCTGAGCACCTTCGTACAATATGCAAATCTGTAAAGAGAGGGTGTCAAGCCCAGTTTTTGCACCCAATAGCTCTTCATCAGGAAGTGAGCTTTCTTCCAGTAAACTGTGGTTGCACTTCGAAAATATGAACAGGTTGGGACAGTTTGACCGAGTAATCTTGTAAGCGAGCTGGTTACCCTGTTTGAGTGACTTTGAGCCCGTTTCGATTGATTTCAACTAGAAATAATGCCCACGATTGTTGTGCGGTCACCTATCGTACTGGACCCAAGCTCTGATCATAGTAGCCGCCGACTCCTTAGGTTTGTGCACTTATCCTGCTCTCAAAACAGTCCCAACTAATGAAGCGAGAGTGCAAAGCCCATGACTCTTCAGGGAAATATTTATTAACGATGGTATGAAGAGAGAACAGTCTTATACAACCATTCTAAAGCACACAGTTGCAGTCTTCTTCCTTGAAAACCCAACTGTCCACCACGTGTTTTAATCCACACAGACAGACAAACTAATCATTGAAATTCCACTTGATTCGGCGAATTTCTATGATACCATACACTAAGATTGGACTTACATCACTCCTTGGTCGCTTGTCTTTCATTCTGAGGTCTCAAACCCTAGCCCTTTTCAGAGTGTTATTATTTGGTCTCATACTGTAAAGACTTTATTTACTTGATGACGTAGGTGGTATATGTTCACTACTCACACCACGGAGTTTGTATATTTGTTAGAGGAAAACGTTTATCATTTGCGATTTCAGATATCTGATATCTCCCAATCAGGCGGGCTCGGGTACCTAGCTTAGGGTTTTCGGCTGCCTCTTATGGTGCAATGCCTATGCTTTCCGATAAAATTCTGCGTAACACTAGATGGCTGCAACACGATGGGCGTATATATATGTGCCAGAAAAATGGACATGAGTTATTCCACATAGAATTTTATTATGTTTCCTACACTTTTCTGTTTCGTCATCATTTCACCTCTCGAATGACAGAGTTACATTCTTTGTGCTCGCCTCTTGATTGTGAGGTATAGGTTCCTGATCTCCGGTAAACTTCTGCGTAGCTCGTCCCGCCACTCGACTGTCGTAGCTTTGGTTGACTCCAAAAGGAATAGTGCAGGGATTAATTATATGTGGTTTGTAGTATGAGGTGGGTTAAGACTGTCACTACCGTGAATGGATTGCATTCTTAATTAGTAGATCTCCTTCCTGACACGAGCTACTGTAGGTAATTGGGGTTTGTCAAGTTTTTCAGTCTCATAGTTCACGGCTGGCTACTGCAGATAAACTAAAAACCTCTACAAATAATCGTCAATATTTACGGCCACACAACTATGGTCTTCTGTCATCTAACAAGCATTACAGCCACTACAGGGATTGCCGCCTACAAAGAAAATGAAACTAGTTCGAATAAACAAGGTCACTGAACAATCGTTCAATCTCTTAGGCCAAAGCTTGAGACGTGATCCGGTTGAAAGATCTCCACTTATTCCACGCTTTTCATTCGACTTGGAATAATCTCTGGAAACCTCGCTTCAGTCAGGAGGTTTATCACTTGGAGCATATTGTCAGCATATATTCAGTATTCTAAATCTCTAGGCTGATGGACCATTTGTTAGTACAGCATTCGTGAATCAGTAGTGACGTTATACCTGTTTGCCACGGAATCATCTCACCATAAAGTAGTGTAGGTCAAGTAAATCTGAGCTCCTTCGTAGGGCCTGACAGACAAATATTTAACGTTAGAGTTGGTTATTGGGTTTTGAAGGAACCCATCAGTTACCCATTTTTAATGGAGTATCATTGACGCCTTTTCAATACCATGACTGTCAACCTTACCGTGGCTTTATTGCAAGGTGAGCAGGGAGAGAGGAGTTATGAAATACCTGGTTCTTTGTTTCCTTTAGATCGTAGGTTGGTTCTCGTAGATGCGTTGCTCTCCCACTCTTCACTAGTAGTGCCTGACGTTCGTATACGAATATATTTTCTTAACAAGGATGTAAAGAAGTACTAGAACATAGTCCACAGTCGAGAAGTGCTTAGTGTTACTCGTAGCGGCAGTGGCCTGACTGGAAGCTCATAGCTACCTTTGTTGTCCGAAGAGTCTAGGGAGTAGAATGGTCAACCCATACTTAACTACACAGGCCTACTCAGTGCTAAGGTTGAACAGTTGTTTCCCTTCGTATGTCTGCTGTGAAACCACCAATTTTATTTGTATTTTCAATGACATTAACTAATGTTCGGACATAACAGTGTGGTAAACGACTTGTAGCGGTAATAGTCTCCCAAAATTGTTGGGCTACAGCGTTATTCACTCAACACTGTGTTCTGACTTTCACCGTTTAAGTAGACTCGTGATTGAGCATCCGCTCCATTCAGTACGCCATCATGTTGCGCTTGACTGTTTGTGCGCGATCCATATCAAGCTAAGCAAGCACCATTGCACTACGCTCATTATCTTGAAATATATCTCGTACTTTGGACAATCAGCTTAGTGTTTTGATCTACTTCTGATCTACGCAAAGCGAGTATTATAGGAGTTCAAAAATAAGGCCTTATCTGTGTATATAGCGTACTTACAGTAAAATTCGACACGCCTTTATGTCCTAAAATACTGGAAGAACCCACACGTCCTATTATTGTGATGGATTGAGGGAGATATTCAGGCATTCCAGAGCAGATTACTTGCAATAATAGATGGTTTCCTGTTGAAAGAGAAGTTGCAACTCAATAGTGAAAGTGTAGTGATAACACAAACGATTCCCCCCTACCTGATGGTCAGACTGCTGATGGCAAGGATCACCCACAAATGCAAGAATATTACAGTTGGGAATATATAATGGTGTGTTAAGATGTAAGCATTTGGAAGAAATGCGAAGATTACATCATTTCAGTACAAGGCCAGTGCTACTAACCTGTTACTTCATGCAACAATTGACTACAATTTAACCGGTGGGTGGTGACTAGCAGTGCAATACAGGATGAGCATTTCGTCTGGTTTGGGACTCGTCAGCCAGCAGATGTACCCGCACTTTCCACTCAGTGAGTGATTACGTTCCCACCAACACTCAAGCACAGTGCTCATAGTTTCACACGCCAAAGCGTTATTCACTAGACCAATTGGGCCAAGAGAACCACCTCTTGTGCAACGGGTCATATTAATTATTTTATTGAATTTTAGAGTCTCGGTGCGAACATCATCACTCGCTGGGGAATGCAGGTACACCCAGATAACGAGTCCCAAATAGGATGAAGTGCGCATCCTGGATTCAAATGCTAGTCACAATCAACCAGTTAAATTCTAATCACACGCCTAGACATCGTCGAAGCATCTTCACAAGAAGCTGACCGTCATGCCAATCTGAGACCAAGCGATTCGGGCCAATCAATCGTAGGGAAAATTTAAAATTTGATTAAATAATTTGCTACATTACTTCTCATTTAACTCGAACATTATATACAAACAATGTGACTAATGTAGATAGGATGTTTGAATATCAGTTCGTTCTACTTATCCAAATGTATAGTAAATCTGAAAAAAATATGTAAGAGGAGACCTATGCTTAGGAAATTAAGAAGTCTTGTGAATATATTTGTAGCGGTGGG